ACCAAAACTCTAGCCCTTTAGCAGCAGCACACAGCTACTCTTCGCTCCTTAAACCCTTCCATTCACTATCACATCTTCCTACCTTTGCATGTGCTATTTATTCCTTCTGTCCTCTCCCTACTCCACCCTCCTCCATCTGGCTAAATCCTATTCATCCCTAAAAGCCTTCCTTTGTCAAATTTCCCAATGAAACCCAAGTGGAGATACTCATTCTTCCTCTTGCTTCCACAGTACTTTATATATACCTCTGTTCTAGCACTTAATCACAGTATCATAATTACTTGTTTGCATATATCTTTCCCTTGTTGGAGGTGAATAACCGCCAGAGCAGGAAGCAGATCTCATTCACAATTCTGGCATCTCCAGGGCCTAACACTGTGTCACCTCCAACAGCGATTTAATAATTGTTGGAGAATTGGAGGAATGAAGGATATAGCCTGGTTCTCTAGGTTGCTGACCATTCTGAAATGTTAGGATCCGAAGTTATTATCTAATGTATTCTGTTTACTGGCCAGCTATCTGAAAGAAGCTTGGGGATATTTAGGAAAAGAGGGACAGCATTTATGTCCATGATGAATCATCGACTCCTGCCAAGACCATGCTCACTTCCAATACACAGGGAGATAGTTGCCAAGCACAGTTCTGGAAAACCATGCTTGACAACCATTCCTGACACAGCTGCAATACACACAGCTCTGCTCCCCTCACACTGCAAATGCATTCCTTCCCTTCTCACCTTTGCACCTTCCAGGAGCAGTTTATGCAACTGAAAACTTTAGCTCTCCTTCTGCATACAAAAATCCTGTTTTGGTTTGTAGAATAAGGTGACTACAAATTTACAGCAGCAGAGAGAGAGCTCCAAGTAATGTGGTGGCCAACCAATGAGGGTCTAGAACATCCCCCATCATCATTATCTATTTCCCTGGCATGATCCTCACAAACTAACTCCCTTGGTCACTCTACTGATTGCAGCTCACTCCTTCGCTTAGGCAAACCATTCTATTAAGGCAGTAAGGGGATGTCTAAGTTTGGAAAATGCAGGAATTCCACACAGCAAAGTAACAAAGGCCCGGATGCTAAGCCGGTCTGACTTCCCAGTGAGAATGGTGCAGTGGGGAGAAGCGATTGTTCTGCACCTATCACAGAGCAGACTGCACAACAACCTCATACAGTTCAAGTTAATTTACTTTGGCCAACCATTTTGACTCATTCCTTTCCTCAAGAAAGAGGTCTGTGTCTGGGAAGGATTAAATTCCTATACACCTGATCAAAGTGCTCCAGAGGAAAGCCAAACTGAGTGAGACAGCTAAAAGGACTGGATACAAGAGGCCTCTGCTGGAATGAGTCCTACTGCCCCCATCTTTCCCAGTTTAATTTGCTTGGAAACCAACTTCCTTTCTGCTGGAGGCCACTGGCAACAAACATCATCCAGTGTGGAGCTGAGATTTCTTCGCCTATTTTTGTTTTAATTCTGCTGACTTAAAGCTGTCACAGCCTGAGACAGCCCCAGTATATCTCCTCCCTCTGAAGAGTGCAGGGTCGCTCAAAAGCCTGCAAAGGAAACTTAATGGAACCATTCACTGAGCAGCAATTTTTTTCAATGAAGTTCAGCAGCACAATCTAACCTCTTTGTGCTCTGCAATGAACCACATTTCTTAAAAGAAAGACCACAGGGGGTTGACAGAAAACTTGCTGCAGGCAGGAAAAGCTGGACAGCTTACAGGGGTTGATGCAGAAGGGAACAAGCAGAAGGCCTATCAGGTCCGTTTTAACATTTCATCTCTATTTTTTTCTGCATTCCCAAGCAGAGCTCCAATGCCACAAGGAATAAAAAAGGAGTGTTTTACAGTTTCTTCATTAGTTTCCCTCCACTGGGTAGGTGTCGTAAACAAGTTTGCTGGACTCAGCCATAAGGGTTGAAGTTTCCTCTCCTTGCAATGAAAAGAAATTAAAGGCCTAGTCCAAGGGCCAGAGCTAAATAAAATGGGAGAAAATGCTGCCTATGTAGTTTCTGAGGAAACCTCCCCGTTTGCCAGCCAACTGCCACCCAAAGCAAAATCCCAAACTAGATGTTAAAAATTACAGCAGGAGCCTCCAAGGCCACGCATCTCGGGCTTCCCCTCCGGGGACCTCCAGCAGTTGGGAAAATGCAGCCCACAGATCCTCTGACTTGTCAAAACTTTCTCTATCTACACCCTAGGTTCAGATTAGACATTAACTTGTAGAACTGTCTCGCCAAAGAGCCTGCAGGGGCTGAAATCTGAGTCCAAGACAAATCTTTATTTCTCAGGAGAAAAAAAAGAGACCCTGCCTCCATCAGGCCCAGACCACAAGGGGGTGGGGGGGGTCGGGAGGGGGGGGGGTCGGGAGAGGTCTCTCCACCAAAAGCTGCACACTCACGGACACCGCTGCCCACTCGCCCCAAAGGCACAGGGCGGCCGGCGACCTCGGCTTCCTCGAGGCTCAGGGAGACAAAAGGGGGCGAGGGATCCTCCGGCGGCCGCTCTGCCCAGCCTCCGCGAGAGGCAGATCGCACAGGCAGCAGGACGGGCGGCTGCCCCGGCGCCCAACTCCTCCTCCTCCTCCTCC